GGAAATCGATTTGATTCTAATCGCACCATGAAAAGAACATGATCTAACTGCTTTCAGCCCTCCGTAAATCTGTACTAGGTCTTTAGCACAATGCAACTTCCAATTTAAAAAGCACTGAATGTCTCGTCAATGACTTTGTGAAGAAAAAAGAACAAGGAGCAGACATAAAAATTCCAATAGTTGTTTAAGCATTAAAGTTCATTTGCATCACAGCAAACCTGAAAAGGGCTGACCTCTCAAACCGCCTCTCAGGTCTATGAAGTTGTAGCCTTGACAAGCTCACATTGACAGAGCTCATTGACTCTGAAAGGCTACTCTATCAATGGTGAAAAATGGCAATAGGTTCTACTCTGAGCAGGCATCTGCCTGCCCACCCGCTGCTAAACCAATGGCAAAACTGATTCAAAACCTGAATCTACCTTGTAATCTTCCTTTCCAGGACCTTTTAATAATAGATTAAGATCACTATACAATTTAATTTCATTGTTTGCCCCAAAGAGTGTGAAAAACATCCAAGCTTTTCAAATTCCAATAAAATTACATATATATTACAATACATACACATAAATAAGAAACTGATAGGTAGTTATGTACTATTAATTGCTTTATTTAAATAAGCCAGTTTAAAGTCGTTTGGCTAGTGTAAGATAAAAACACATGCAGTCTCGAGACGACTATTTATGTTCTCAGAGCCTTAAATACAATCCTTCCTGTAGTGTAATTTGGGATAGCCATAGCTCCCAAATCACACCATATTATCAATACAGAAACGTTAATGAAAATTAGACTGTAAAATATTTCTGCAAACCTCAGAGTGTGGAATAAAAAGAAATGAATTAAACAGCATCACACAATTCACTATAGTAAGTTTTCTTCCTACTTGACAGGTGAAAAAAAGCACTTGCACGTGCAGCTTAATTAATCACTGCTCTTGACATCTCAATGATTTACAGTGAGGAGCAGGTGAGGATATACAAAACCAGAAAAGAACACTTGATTTGAGTGTAGCATTTCCAGCACACTAGGATGACAAGCTTATATATTCTATCAATGGTGTACAGAAAAACCCATACAGCAAATTATTTGTTAGCCACAACAAAAGCACAAATTAAGTGGAAGAGAGACTTGCTTATTAGGAAGATTTAATACTATCCAGCTTTTAAAATATTTCTCCTAAAAAAACGAATCCAATATTTAAGCAAAGCTAAAACTGCAATTCAAGTATGCTTTTTAGCATACCAATGATAAGAAAGTATGCTTTGTTACCCACAGAATTTTGTGAAACAGACCTCTTCAATTGACTATCTAGATGGAATGTTTAATGAAACATTGCTGTTAAATAACTGAATCTTTAAAGATATTAATGTTTGACTGTGTCTTTTGAAAAATCAGACTACCAAAAAAGCCCCACACAGAATACACATTCACCAATGTTTATTGCTCCCAATTAAGTACAACAAAGTTTTGCCCTTAAATATGGAAGGAAAAAAAAAAACAAACAAAACAATAGGAAGACTAAGTATGAACTTTTCATACAGAAACAAGGCAGTATTGAATACAAATGACATCACCTATATCAGAAAGGCCGCAAGATGTTTCTGTTAAACACTAGATGTTTGCAGCATCTAGTGAAGTTGGCTTACAATTCCAGATTCAGTTATGATCTGGACTGGGAGGCTGCGCAGCCACAGGGTCCCCTCTTGCAGTGCATGACCTGGAACACACACGCTACACTAAACCGTACTAGTGAATCGGCCAAAGCCCCCTCAGCTCCTGCTGTAAATCAGTGAATGACTGGTACAATATTAAACAAAAGGAATTTGCATGACTCCCAAAATGGTGCTAATTTGAGTACCTCCCTTTGTCTTTATTTAAGCAGGGAAACAACATGCCCAGTAACAACATGATCCTCCACTATCAATTTTATTCATAGTTGTCTGACAATAACAGAAGAATCTCCTGCTACATACATTTCATCTTTGACTTCTCATTTGAAAACTCCAAAACACATGTAAATATAGTGCAACATCAGTCCAATAAGTAGTATGTGGAGACTTTCAAATTACTTCTTATAAAACTTCATCACAATCAAATATTAATAATTTTGAATATTACCCTGAAAAAATACGCTTTACACTTGAATTTCAAAATAAGAGGAGACCAATTTAAGCAGATTTTTGTTGATTCTCATATGGCCAGAATTTGTATTATACTCCACAAAAGAAAGGCAAAGGATCCTATCAGAGGTCTGAACTACATTGTTTCTGCTCACTCAAAGTGAGAAATTATGGAAGCAGGAATTTCTGTTCATTCTCCAAAGACAAGATATACTTGATGACAAAATTTATACCCCAAGAAATTTAGTTATCAGCACAAACAACAAAATACAAAGTTAGAAGATAACTGAATCACACAACTGTACACTCACTTTCAACATACCAGAACATCCCTCAAGTCAATTTTGAGGCCCATAGTGGTGCCACAAAAATGCCAAAGCTGTATTCAGAACATGCATAACTGAATTACATCTATCTCTATCTGCACTAAGAAAGCCCCCAGCTCAAACACTGTATCACAAATAAACCTTTTAGAAACTGTAACTTGTTAAGATTCTCAGCTTACTGTGGAATTCTGGTTGTGAAGGTCAAAGATGACAAAGGTGAAACCTGACTTGATTTTAGATCCTGACATCCTGGAATACCTGCTTCAGCACGTACAATAGTTTGAAAAGGTGTCTGTTCAATGACATGGGTGTATCTTGCACCATCTTTCTCATTAGTAGCCAGGATATTTCTTACTAGAGACTACTCTTAAGGGTGATCATCCTAGAAGTCACTGCAGCATCCATGCAAGAAAGTGAAATCCATACTGCCTGGGTTGAAGAATATCTGAAAATAAATGTAGCGTTCTGGCACTTTTTGTACAATCTTGAAATAACGGCCTTGTCCAACAGGATCACTGCTGCTGCATCTGGTCTTACCTTACAGATGATTCCGGGCAGAAAGTGAGCCCAGGCCAAAGCACAGATCAAAACTCCTGATCAGGCAAAGAGAAATATAATCAGCAGAATTCTGGAGCTAAAGAACCGACAGCAACAAACTGACCTCAGGAAACTTCCCATTCTAAAAGACAGCCCTGAGCATGTTGTCTCATATCCTCACACGATCCATAAACTGACCTAATTTGTATGGGTCTCAACCCTGGGCTGGGACAACACAGAGAGACGAATTTAAAGCTTAATGAATCAAATCAGACCAACTACTTTCTGGAAAGGTCTTTTCCACCAAATTGTCTGCTGATATAAAGAGGAGAGCAGCATTATTTGACACTACCGCATGTAACAGTTTTTAATATCT